CGACGTTGCCCAAGAGCGGCGCCCCTCCCTCGCCAGCCTCGCCCAACGGGCACTCCAGCCCCCCCACTCCGCAGCCCGTGAGGAACTTCGTCACCAGCGCACACCACTGGTCACCAGAACAAGTCACACCTACACCTGGACGGTGAGTATTTAACAAGTGGACGCCCATAACTTGGTAAACAGAATAAAAAAAAATATCATATAACAATCTCCTGTACATGAGCTACCTTAAAGCTAATTTTCGTGAAAATCGGTCCACCGGTTTCAGAGTTTACTGGGAACAAACGTGGATTTGACAGACAAAAATTGTTGTTTTTTGTTATTAGTAATACAGGTACGTCATTTTTACAATATGATGTTTCTTCAATAATAGATGTTGCTCGCATCTTCGTCCGCTCGATAATAAAATTTGTAACATATAGCTTATGTTACAAAGTGATAATATAGTTATTTATTAGTACAAAGAATTTTCGAAATCGACTTAGTAGTTTTTGAGTTATTTCAATACGTACAAAAATACAAACATAAATACATAACAAAATAAATACTTTCCTTTTTATAATATTAGTATAGATAGATAAAATTTACTATTATATAAAAAGAAATCTTAATATAAGTTTTAAATGTTTCCAGTGCGAGGTGGGCGTCCCCGTCGCACGCGGGCGGCAGCAGTTCGCAGCCGGCCAGTCTGGAAGCTGACTTCTCTAACCATTCGCCGTATCCTAGACGCAGGTATACTAATATAATACCAGTAAAATAGCTCATTAGTCCGCAATATTACCACTGGCATAAGTTTATCACTAACTGGCGCCAGTGAAGTCATACTGTCCAATAAGGCCTGTGTTTGTGTCCAACTGTACCCAAATATAGACTAGGCATTATTTTGTATGAAATGGAGTACAAAAATAATTCGTCTATTATTAATTATTTTTTTATTTTTTGTTTAAGGACGATAGAGGCGTGCGCGTCGCCGCCGCCGCCACCCGTGCGCAGAGTTTCCGCTGAGAACCGCTGGAGGGCGTCACCAGCTGTCAGTTATAGTCATTTATATTAAATTATTAAGACAATAAGTAATTAAAATTTAAAAAAAAACTCCAATTCTTTTCAAAAAAAAAAAACTTACAATTTACTGAAAATATTGCGTGCAAAAATATGTTGTGTTCTTCCAGGCTATCGTCTACTTCTATACTAAATTTCGAAATCCGTTTAGGCTACAAACTCTAACAAACATCCATCAATCTAAACTTTCTCATGTATAATATAAGTTTATTTATAATTTTGCAGAGTTCGGGCAACACAAGTCCTATAGTGCTGCAGAGGTTCTACCATCAGAGCCAACAGAGGAGGTCCAGGGTCGACCTGCATTCAACCCCTAGGCATAGGAGGTCAGTATTGTAATTTCTCCCTACTTATAGTCAATTTAATAATCATTAAATTACTGTGAGTGCGGCAGTTACACGTCAGACTTGGCAGAATTTTTTCGAATATCAAAATAATATTCATAGCACTTAACCTTGATGACCCGAGGTGTCTAGAAAAAATAATAAAAAAAAATTCTGATATATCTCTACAGATACACTAACAAGAAAAGGGTTAAAAGTTTACTAATGGGCTTTTTTAAATTATTTGGACCTGTAATTCGAAATGTATTCTCTGTTTGTAATTATATGTGTATCAAAGGTAATAAATATGGTTTTAATAAAATGTTTTCAGCTTAAGCAGAGAACACAGTACGGGAAGATCTCCGGAGCCCCCGCCGAGGACTAACAGGCATCATATGTTGGGACACGACGGTCAGTTTTAAATATATTAATAAACAAGCTTTTACCAGAGACTACGGGGAATTAAAAAAAAACTTTACTAATCTGCTGTTTATTACTGCATATACATCCGATGAACTATTATGTAGATCCTTCTAGCAAATATCGATCCTAAACTTTTTCATTTATAATATTAGTAAGATTATATCGTTGAATTATTTGGTTTCTTTGAATATTATCACAATTTTATATTAAAATGTATATTCCCAGCGAACGGCAGCTCGGAATTGGAACCGCCTCCGCTGCATGAGCGGTTACATCCCCCCTCCCCGCTGCTGCTTAGTGACAGGTAGATTTTTATTTCAATATACTTGATATGTAAATAGCACGATTATTCGCAACTAAATTAAGGGTATAAAATAAATATACTTTAGACTAATTTTCTTACTTTTTAAACTAGACATATCAAATTGTACCAAATTTAAGATATAAAATAAAATATGGACTGAAGCATATATGATTTTATACTATTGTTATAACAATTTATAAATTTCGATACAAATGACATAAAAAAAAATGATTTTAATAGTAGGAGTAGTTATTAAAATAAATATTTTTTTTATAACTACTCCCCACTACTACTTCAGTTTCTATTATTTTGTAATAATGATATTATAATAATATCTTTATTTTTTTTTAAATTAAAGCATTAGTAGATTTTTGTTAATTTACTAATATTTCCTTTTAGAACTAAACTCTAAGCTTGTGCTAGGATATGGTTATATTTTATGATTCTAAGGGCAGTAATGTGTATATAACATTTCAATGTTCTGTATGGGAATTTTTTACTATTTCAGGTTATCAGAAGGGCGTAGTCAGAGTCTGACGCGCGCGGAACTACGCAACGGGTATCGGTCTGAAGTCGCAGCTCCGAAACATCACGACGACCAAGGTAAACTACATACCAACTACTTGTATACAAACTACATGTTTACAATTTACATGAATACAAACTACATGTAGACAAACGATATGTATACAAACTACACGTATACAAAATACACGTTTACAAACCACATGTATACAAACTACATGTATACAAATCACATGTATACAAACTACATGTATACAAACTACATGTATACAAACTACATGTATACAAATCACATGTATACAAACTACATGTATACAAACTACCTGTATACAAACTACTTGTATACAAACTACCTGTATACAAACTACTTGTATACAAACTACTTGTATACAAACTACATGTATACAAACTGCATGTATACAAACTACTTGTATACAAACTACACGTATACAAACTACATGTATACAAACTACTTCTATACAAAATACATACATACATACATACATTGTAACAGCATTATTAAATAATAATCAGAAATTACACTTCTCTTACAATTTTGAAACAAAACCAAAAATTATTATAAGATTAATAAAAAAAAACTTCTGTATTAATTAAGTTATACACGTAGATAATTATCATTTTATGTTTTTTTACTATTTTAAGAGTTTTATGTTTATTGTGTAATTATTGTAATTGTAAATAAATCCGAGGGCAGCCAGCCTTTGTTGTTGTTTTAATAATTAAAAAATAATTGTTGCTGCGCTTGCCACTCTTTCCTTTGCCATTCAGTTTGTGTTGGGAAATGATTGTATTATCTGAATTATATCTATAAATTATTATATTTTTATTTTATATGCCTAAAGATAATAAGTTTCATTTGGATTGAAAATGTTTTAACAGTGTTATTACTGATTTTGAAATAAAAATTAATATGTATGCATATTTAATATATTTTTTTTATGTCTAATTTTTTAAATCTTTAAAATAATTTAATAATAATACTAGATAATACAATCATTTTAATTCACCCTCCATCAAAACTCATATTTCTTATACATTTACCCATTTCTCATTAAATGTACGGGAACAGTAAATTTCAGAACGAGCAAAATAACTTGTGCTTTGCTTAGCGGTTATTCTGCTTATAATGGGATTGAAGAAAAACGTAGCATATTGCATTTTTATTTAAATTAATTTTGTGGGTAGTCGTAAAAAGTAAAGGTTGTAAGGAAACACGTATTTAAGGTAAACTAACATTTGAAAATTGTAGTATCAAGGATTTTAAGTTTGATTATGTCACTTAAAAATCATTTTTACCGTAGAATCCACTGATTTGTAAAAATGGATAGGCGATTACTTCAGTATTTATCGCTCCTTTTGACGTTAATTTCAGTAAATATCGTCTTTGATAATTAGAATCTTCACCACTGTAATTGCAACCGTCAGCGTTAAAATGGCGGAAATTAATAGAACAAAATTCCAAGTCTACTAGCCGATCCATTTGTAAATATCAGTGCTACAATTTCTCTGCCACGAACTTGTTTAGTCGTCTCTTTGAAAATAGAAAGACGGCAATATTTAACTTTCTACGGTAATCATAACTATATTTTGTCACTTGTCGCCACATTATTTTCTGCACAAATATTATTTGCAATAATTCTTGGTTATAAAATAAACTACTACAGTAAATATTAAAAAAAAACTGTGAAATATTCTTTTGTTTTCGTGACATAATCTAACTTACAAATGAAACGTTAAATTTTACTGTTCTTTTGATGTGATCTATGTGTATTTGTGTTGTTACTAACTGAGAGGACATTTTATTTTGAAACTCGTTTTCTGTCACTGCGACTTTCATATAAAATATCGAGTCTACGTAACATCTAAACTAAAATACCGCTGTCCCTTTCACTGTCTCTAATAAGACAGAGATAGACGTATATTGTTATCTCTGTCTTATCCAAAGAGAGTGACAAAGATAGCAATATATTACATATGTTCTCTCAGTTTGCTAACAATAGCTGTGCTTCTGCCGCTCTCCTCACGCGACCACATCGCCTGTCACGCCTCGCTACACTAAACACAACCCTAACACCTCGCTAATAACGGCTATATTTGCTAAACACGCTTCATACGGCGAGTCTACGTAGTTTGGACCGCTTGATGCCGAAATATACCTTATTGTGTTACAAGAACTAAATTTGTTAATCCGTACGAGTTTTATTGGTTCGTTGGAAGTTGATTTGGTAAGTTAGTGTCTTTTGATGTAATAATTCATTAAAATTCCTCATAAATTTAAACTAATATATTTAAAAAATAAATTGATAGAATTTAAAATTTCTATAAAACGGTATAGTAAAGTATGTAATAAAAATGATTTTAAAATAATATGAAAATTAAAATAGCAAATAAAATAGATATTGTTCTAAATTCATACTTTTTATTGTAAGTGGTGGGCGGTCCAAACATTTGTAAGTAAAGAACAGCTTTTAGTAGCAAGGTGTGGGGGACCATCTGTCATCGGTCTGTCCTGGCTTGTGTCGCTGTAGCCGGCCGCACGGTGCCGTGTACTTTGTACTAGGCGCTGTGTACTATGTACTGTGTGTCGGCGCGGTGCCGTGTACTGTCAACTGTG